GAAAATAGTATTAGATCTGTTGGCTATCTTGTTAATTAGATCTTCTAGTATGACAAAATAAAGTACAAAAATAATAAAATACAGAAAAATAATAACAGAATAAAACTGTATAACAAAATGAAAATAGTATTAGATCTTTTAGCACCTTGTTTATCGATTATCTGGCTATCTATCTAGCCGATCATAATGTACTATAGCTTGTTTTGATTGTCAGGGTCTTCTGGATCTGCTAAAGGTAAAATCCTTAACATATTTTATAATACCAACACGTCCTAATAACCCTAATATCATATAAAATAAAATATAATAAAATAATAATAATAATAATAATAATAAAAAGTAAAAAATATGCTAAAGGAGCTGACAGAAATCAGCTGATTTTTTGGTGGGTAGGTGGGTCAGCCAAAGTGTTAGGTGTAATTCTGGCCGGAATTATCAAATTCTGGCCAAAATTATGTTATAAATTTATATATAAATTTATATATAATTTCAATATTATATTGCTTTTGATCTACTGAACCAATTTGGATGATTTAACTACCAAAATGATCCTCTCAATGACTTGATTCTAACAAGCCTAAAATCATTAAAATCCAATTACTATATCCTAAGATCGATATAGATTTATATACTATATACTATATAATACTATATATAGTAATATATAGTATATAGTATACAAATCTATATCGATTTTAGGATCTAGTAATTGGATTTTGATGATTTTAGGCTTGTTAGAATCAGGTCATTGAAAGGATCATTTTGGTAGTTAAATCATCCAAATTGTTTAGTAGATCAAAAGTTATATGATATTAAAATTTTTTATTAATTAATATATAAATTTTTTGTGCAATTTGATTGGCTAATAAGGTATCAGATGTGGGTGGGGGTAGCATCTTAAGAGATAGAAATCACCTGATTTTCGTCAGCTCCCTAATATAACAATGTTAATGCTATTGCATTTTTAACTTTTTCTTTTAATAAATCAAATGCTTTTTGGCATTCATTTGTCTATTCAAATTTCATATTTTTCTTTAATAAATTGTAAATCGGTTCTGCAATTTGTGCAAAGTTTTGAATATACCTTCTAAAGTAATTCATAAATCTGGTAAATGATCTTACTCCATGTATATCTTGTAGTACTATGAGTTTTTCAACCTCTTTAATTTTTATTTGATTTGTGTATATCTTTCCATATTCTACTAAATAATTTAGTATAAGAGTTTTCAATATATAAAATTTGCATTTGTCGGGCTTAAGGCTCATGCCCACTTTTTTGATGTGTTCAAATACCATTTTAAGATGTTTATAGTGTTGTTCAAGAGAATCACTAGCTATAGTTATATCATCCATATATACAAATACAAAAGGTAAATCTCTAAATATTTCATACATATATCTCATCATATATACAGGTGCTGTTTTCAATCCCATAGGTAATACGTTCCATTCAAATTTTCCTTTACCAGAGAAAAATACGGTTGTTAAATGTTTATCTACTTCTCTTAATTTAAACTGGTAGTAGGCAGCCGTAAAATCTAGGGTAGAAAAAATTTTATACTGCGCTAGTTTTTGTAACATCGTATTAATATGTAGAATCTTATATGGATCATCTTCTAGATATTGGTTTAGTTTGGTATAATCCACAGCTACTCTATATGATCCATCTTTCTTTTGGATGATTACTAATAGTGATATCCATATTGCTTTGCTAGGTCTAATAAATTCTTGTTTCTGTAGTTCTTCAAATAATTTATTAGCTTGTTCAATTTTATCTTCCGAATATTGTCTCAGTATTCTTGCTTTGTCTTTGAATGGTATTTCTTTCTCATCACATTTAAGGTTCAATGTGATTGGTTCAAAGAAATCTTCATTAAACGTAGTTGCTTTTTCATTCTTCTGTCTAAATATGTTTATATATTCCTTGAATATTGGTAACATCTTATTTCTATATTCTGGTGTAGTATTCTTTAGTAATACTTCAAGTCTTTCTTTCTCAGTTTTCTCTTTTTCTTTGGGTTTCATTTCCCATTATTTATCTTTTTCTTTATATGTTACTTCTGCATTATTTACTTCTATTATTTTGGTGATCTTTTAAAGATTGCCAATATAGTATTTATTCGGTATTAGTATAGGTTTATCTGTGTAGTTGATCATTCTTATTTTGTTATCATTTATGATTCCATTTTGTATAACAATACCATTTTGGGCTAAATATATTAGTGTCTGTATAAGATAATTCCCTTTTTTAGATATTTTAATTGCGGTCCATATGTATGGTTTTAATATATATTTCTGTATTGTATAACATGGTATTCCTGTTCCTAACGTGGGTATAATATGTTTTCTAATCTCATTTGGTATATGTGCTAACTCTTTATGTACTGGATTTATTTTCTTATTTTGATCTAATATCCTAGATTAATATTGTGATAATTCAATATTAAATATTTCTTTCTTAATATACAAGCTTTCTGTACTGTTATTTCTACTTTGTTCATTACTTCTATATCCATAAGAGTTACTTCTTGGTTCTGGTAGTGGTGGTATTTTGGATCTATTCGTTATAGGTCTCATTTTGGGTGAATCTCCTTCAATTCCAATATCCATTCCTTGGTATTCGTATTCCGTTTTATTTGAATCTCGTATTTGAGAACTTGAACTTGAACTTTGTTGCGATTGGTAATATTCATCTCGCTGCCTATTTAGATTTTCAACATCATTTCTTAAGTTTAAAGCTGTTGGTCTTTGGCTATTATTTCACATATTCATTAAGGTTTGTCTAGTTCTATAAAAACTAGTATTTCTTTGGTTTTCAGGTGTATTTGTTACTGCTTGGTTTTTAGTAACATTTTGTCTCAAATCAGTTTGTTTTTGTTAAGTATTTTGTTTTCTTCCTCAAATAGGTTAATTGGATTTGCAGGTATATATTCTGATGCTTTATTCACAAAGTGGTTCCATCCCGTTTGTTGCTTATTAATTTCTTCAGGTTGGTTTATTCGCTCTTGCTAGTATACTGGTTGTCTTGGTTCAGTGTTTTCTGCAATTAATCCAGGTATTTGTTGTCCAGGTGAATAATATTCATAATTTCCTGTAACTGTTTCTTGGACAGGTATTTTAGTATTTATTTATTCATTATTTAAATGTATACTAGATATACTACTTGTTAATGCAGTTGCAGATGAACCTTGTCATTTATGAGTATACACTTGTTGGGTTTGTTGGTTACCTTTTAATTTACTGTTTTGTTTGTCAAATAATTGTTGAAAGTGATCATCTTCTAGTTCACTTGTTGCACTATGTTCACTACTTGAATTAGTTCTAAATTCAGGTTTCTTTACATTAATTCTCTGGTGTATTTCTGGTATTAGTCTGGGTAATAATATTTCAACCATTATTTCTGGTTTGCTAGTTTTTTGGTTTGTAATAGTATGTTTTTTAATAATTTCTGGGTTTTCTTGTTTTACCTATTCTGTTAAGAATTCCATATGCTTTTTAGTAGCATTATCTCTGTTCTTTTTATCAATATTAGCTTCTGATATGCTTAACAAGTTTTGTATAATAACTTGTTTTTCTGCATTGTCTTTAGCTTTGAATTCATCCAGTTTCATATTAAGTATCATATCAGTTTCTCCTCAATATTTACTTTCTCTCTCAGTTATTTCATCATGTAGGTATTGTTGTGTAGAATATTGCTGTTTATCCCAATATTCTATAAAATTATAGACCTTTTCTTTATCGGTTATATCTGGTGTTCCTTCTCAAATTTGTTGTGGTAGTGATTTAATTCCTTTTATTATGTCAGTATAATGTTTAGCTTTTTGTTTATACATTTGCATGACTTGATTATGTTGCATTTTTAAATGCGTCAGATTTCCCATCAGTTGAGACAAGTCTTCTTTAAATTGTTTATTTTGAGCTTGCTTTGTTATTTGTTGTTATAAATCGGAATTCTTTCTTTTTAATGATCTTATCATCATTCTAAATCTTGGTGATGCCAGTGTGGTTAGCATTGCAGGTGTTTTTACTGGTTTGTCTGAATATTTATTCATGATATTCATTATTTTGTCTATTATTCTTGATGCTTTCATCGCTCGTATTCCTTTCTGTGTTTTAGCTTCTTCTTTATCATAAGGATTTTCTTGATTTTGTAAAGTCATATCTGCCATTTGTTTGGTAATATATTCTACTGTTTGTTCTGGGGTATAATGCGTATTGTTTTGCATATATATTTCATTTTGTGTAAATAAGTATTTTATTCCTAATGTTGAATCACATTTTTGTGAATTCTCTAATCTTTTCTTTAAGGATTTATCTAATTCTCTATCAGATTGCAATATATTATTTGCAAAATATCTAAGTACCTGTATTTCATTAACTTGTTCTTTCATGTTCCACTTAGTTTTTCTTGGAGTTTCTACTATTGCAGTTTTAGCGTATTTAATTATCTTTTCAAATATTTTTAAGTTTAGTTGACCATTCATTATATGTGCGTGCACATCTTGTCCACTTCCAAATATTGTTGGTTTTAGGATACGTCTATCCGGTAATCGTCTTTCTTTAGAGACATTGTTTAAGTGGAATAATTCTATTTCATTTCCATGTTTCTGAAGTACTTCTTTATAATGTTCAACTGTTTTGCCTACCCCTGTAGCAAAATAATATTGTGTATCAAAGCAGAACTTTATTCTGTCTTTTATCCCTTCATCTGTATCTGGAGCAAATTTGTCTCGGATTTTAAATTGCCGATAAATTTTTCACACTATTAGAAAATTAATATAAATATATATTCCCAATTTCTTGTATTACTAAGCAGAGGAACACAATATCGATATTCCTACAAAATATCTTGGCCGCACAAACTCAAGGTAATATTCGATAAACTTCCAAAGTTTGATGTTCAAATATCAAAAAAAATGTAGAATTTAAATAGTTTAAATCTTATTATTATCAAACAGCATTTTTTTTTTTTTTTTTTAATGCAAAAATGTTGGATGCTAATACTGATGATATTATTGCTTGGGAATCACCATATCTTGTTACCTTTAAGCGTAATCATCATGAGGAAGAGATGATAGATCACAAACTTATTTCAACTACTGAAATGGCCGAAGAATTATTTGTAGAACAAGAACATGAAGAGTATTTTGATACGGATTCAGATAATGACGAACAAGTTGGCGAAAGCAGTAAGAAAACTCATGAAAGGGGTGAAAAAAATAAGAGAAGCAGGGGAGGCAGAGGAGGTGGGAGGGGTAGGGGAGGCAGGGAAGACAAGAATAAAAAAAATGATCAAAAAAATGAAAAATATAGGAGAGGTGGGCGGGAAAAAAAAAAGTAATCAGCATAGAAAATAAATATACGAATGAAAGTGAAAATGAGATAATTAACACTTCTGACCTACCAGATTTTGAACTTATGCAAGGTTTTCAAAAATATCATGCAAGTTATGTGACATTGCCTCATGAAATGCAGCAAGGCATTGTCAATCTGCTCGCCCTATTTCAGCTGTGTTTTACCAATTAACAATTGCAAATAATTGTTGAAAATACGAATAAGTATGAACAATTAAAAGGCCTTGAAGGTGGTCGTACTTGGAGCCCATTAACTTTAAAGGAACTAAAAATCTGGATTGCGTTAGTTATTTACATAGGAGTTTATAAAGTTTATGCTGTAGAGGACTTATGGAATTCTGACGAAAAAAAACCAATTTATAATGTTAAGGAATTTATGTCTTTATATAGATTTCAACAAATAAAAAGGTTTTTTCATGTTTCGAATCCAATTGAGCCTCAACTTTTTTGGTATTCAAAAATCGAACCTTTAGCATCACATCTTAAAGAAACTTTTAAGAAGCTGTACGTTCCTCGTACACAAGTTTCTATAGATGAAATGATTGTATATTTTGCTGGTTGGAGTATATATACATTTAGAATAAAGAATAAACCAACACCAGAGAGTTATAAGATTTTTTCACTTTGCGATGCGGGTTATACATAGTCTTTTTTTTTTAGCTCATGAGTTAATAAAAACGAACAATTAGAATACGTTGAAAATATTAATGAAGCAGGGCGCATAGTTTGGAATTTAGCTAAACAACTTTCAAAAAAAAAATTTTTTCATATTTATATAGATAATTATTTCTCAAGTATTCCGTTGTTTAAACATTTGCATAATAATAACTTAGGTACATGTGGCACAGTTCGTGTTAATTCATCTAAATTTCCTAAAAAATTAAAGGTTGAAAAACCTTCTTCTTTAAACTGGAATACTCTTGATAGTGTAGTTATTGATGATGTTTTAGTTATTCTGTGGATTGACAATGGCCTTGTAACTATGCTTACAACGATTCATAATATTATTGAAGATGAATAGAAAGTTATTCGTAATCGTCGTCATCCACGTGAAACAAGCACTAATGCAAAAAAAGTGTGACAAGTTTTTGGTAACTTATCAAGAAAAGAATTAGCAATTCCACGATTAATTAATGATTACAATAACTATATGGGTAGGGTAGATATTGCAGATCAGCTTCGAAATTATTACAGTTGTCAACTAACATCTTTTCGTACTTGGTTTCCTTTATTTTTTTGGTTGTTAGATTCTTCACTAATTAATTGCTATATTGTTTATAACAAAATTACAGATAAGAGTATTTCACATAAAGATTTTAGAATTTCACTTATCTGGAATCTGATTCATGAAGTCCTTGTCAATAGAACTAAAAAAACTAGAAAACAATTTAGTTATGAAAGTTCTTCTAACTCACCACCAAAATGAAAACGAATTGTTTATATTACAAAAAAATTTCAATTACCTCCAACTCGTTTGTTGCCTGAAGATCATTAGTAGAATGGAGGAGAAAAAGAGAATCATGCATTTATTGTTGATATTTAGTAAAAAATGTTAATTGTGACAAAAAAACTGTGATTTCTCAAAGTAATTTTTGGTACATTAAATGTAATGTACCTCTTTGTTGTTCTAAAGCAAAACCAAATTGCTTTAGAAATTTTCATAATGAAAATGAATAAATTTATAAATAATTGATTTAAATAAATAATTTGTTTAATTTATATTAATAAATAAAGTAAGTTAAATTATTTAAATAAATAATTTATTTAATTTATATTAATAAATAAAGTATGTTAAATTATTTAAATTTTAATGATTTTTTTAAAAATTTAAAAAGATTATTATTAACAATATTATGTAGTATATTAATTAGAACCAAGCGATTTTTATACCATTCAATTTATCTCAATGAGATGAATCGAATGATATAAAAATCATTTGGTTCTGATCACTAAATCGTAACATATGACAATTTAAGCAGCTTTTTCTCTAAAATTTTATAAAAAACTTTGATTTTCTAAATGGCAGTATTCTATGATCTAGTAATCAGAACCAAGCAATTTTTATGCAATTTGATTCGTCTTATAAGATAAATAGAATGGTATAAAAATCGCTTCGTTAAAATTAATAGAATGTATAATATAGCCGATTAATTGTGGGATTCTTTGTCTATTTATTAATATATTTTTAAAAATTAATTTATTTTATTTGTTAATAAAGATAAAAGTTTATACTAAAATTATAAAAAAATACTAATAATTTTATTAAATATAACTAGTTCTTTTAATTTTATTATAAATTATATAGTTTAAAATTGAAAAAATATATATATTTTTCTAAATTAAATTAAAATTTTGTAAAATTTGCAAAATTGTTAAATTATTGCTTTTTAATAATATATAAAAGTATAAAATATTTAATATATATTAAGTTAATTAAAATTATTTTTATATGGTTTATAGATTAAATAGATTAAATATAAAAAAAAATTAAAATATTTGTCTTTTTTTATAAAACATACTATATATTAAAAAATCCAGAGCAAATTTGCCCCAGATTGGCCTACAGACGAAGGAATAACTCCATTTTGTGTTTGTTTGTATCGATACTTTTTATCTATCATATTTCTAATTTCTTTTAATTCTTGCATTGTTGTTCCATAATATCTTACTGATGCTGAGTTTTCTAATAGTATTGTTACATTAGTTTGTTGTGTTCTTTTAAGTATTTCCTCAAGATTAAGTTTAATTTCCTTTTTAAAATCTTTAGTTTTATCTTGTGCGGTTCCTATATGTAGCACATATCTATTTGCTCCAATATTATAAGCTCTTTGTATTTCTTTAGCGATTCTAATCATTTGCTATCATATATTTCTTTGACTATTTAATAGTGTATCACTTAGTATTAATCCCATTGATGTATGTATAATAATTTCTAATTTAGACAATGAGTTCCCGTTAATTATGTTTGTATCATTAATCACATCTATTTCTCCTCTTTGTAATGTTAAATAATTTCCAACATGTTTTATATAATTGTTCAAGTTTGGTACTGGAATGTATTGTAAGAATGTTTGTACAGTATTACAGTTGGTTTGTACAACTGCTTTGACTATTTTATGCTATAACTTATCACAGATTAGGCCTATTTCTTTCTGTCGATGTTTATTTAATTCATATTGTTTTAAGAATATCTGTATAGCAGTTTCTGATATATATTTCTTTGTAAATATATTATTCTGTGGAATATTTTTATCTTGACCTTTTTCTTGATTTAAATATTATTTTTGATGTCTCGCCTCTGAAGCCACCTGTGAGAATATCTTTTGTCAACTTCTTAAGTATCTTGTCACGACATTGTGGTTGACATTTTCATAGACGCCTTTTGGTAAGTTACTTAGGTCATCTTTATATCTAAGTTGGTTATACTTGAGTTTAAGTTGAGCGCTTTTGCTAATCACGTATTGTGGTTCGTCTTTATTTGAGTTTTGTTGTGTGTTTAGCCCCCTATTTTCTTTATATTTCTTAATAGTTGACACATTGTTCGAATTAAGTTGGGTGCCTTGGTGATGTGAATTTGGTCTCATTTCTAAATAATAAGTGGATTTCACCACATTGGGCGCCTTGTAAGCTTGTCCTTGGTCTGAATAAACACGATTTTCTGAGTTACTAAGACCTAAGTGTCGGTGCCTATGGAGTATATCATCCCCAGTACTGAAGTACTTTTCAGATGCATTGTCTATACTATTGCGTCGGCTAAGGTTACGTTGGTTAATAATAGGTTGGCTATTGATTTCAATGACTTGGTTAAGGACATTTTTGGTTATTCCAAGTTCAGATTGTGTTTTGTTACTTAATAGTATATATTTAGAATAAGTATTTAAGATGTTTATTTTTATATTAGTGGTTAAGAATTCATTAATCTTAATATCCACAAGTATTTTTCTGAGTATTTTTACATTATTGTCTACTGCTTCTGCAGTTGCTAGTTTAGGTATTAAGTTTTTAATTCCTAATTTGTGAGCATGGTTTATTCCCATTATAGTATTTGTAAAACCCTTGTCTAATTTTAGTTCTATTAGTATATTATTTATTAACGCTATTAGGTAGAAGCCTTTTGCTCCTTTAGGTTTGCGTGAGTTTATTATAGTTTTATTAGAAAAGTATAGTTTATTATAAGCGGCAGTATTTATTTCAGGATTAATAATATCTTTATTAAAATGTATATTTCTTTGTTATATTTATTATAAAATAAATCTCCTATATAGTTAGTGTATTTATATGAAGATTTTCCAAGAGTATAGGGCTTGCCTCCTAATGAAAATGCGGTTCAGTATTTTTATCATATTTTTCAGTAATTTGTTTAAGAGTAGATATTTTCCTATTGTTATGGTTGTTGTAGTCATTTATGCTATTGTTATAAGTATTCACAGTGTTTTTATATTGTTGATATTCTTGAAATTCTGTATAAGAATTATCATGTCTTTGTTTATAAAAGTTGTTCATTTCCCATTTCTTATGAAAATTGTTAGTTTCTATTCCAGATACGTTTTTGTAGCAATCTTTAGTATAATGGTTATATGAATTACAATTAGAGCAAGTTGGTTTCCTTTATTATTTTCTCCATATATAATTCCTTTTTTGTCATCTCATCTCCCTGGGCTAAAGAATGGTTTAGGTGCTTGGTAAGGTGCTCATTTTTGTTTTATAAAATTTCTGGATTACCTCTAATTTCTTCTATTTTTGAATTTGTCAAAAGAGATATTTGATTTTTGAGCAAATTTGTTCACAATTTGTTCTTGTTGAAATTGTTTAAATAATTTTGGTTTAAATTCATTTTTGGGCTAAATATCTTTTTTTTGTTTTTCTGGTTTTCTTTGGTTAAACATTTTTTACCATTTGCCTTTCTTTCCTTTATAACTATTGTTTCTTTTGTAGTTTCCATGTTTTTTTACTGTAGAATTGTTTTATAGAATTATATTTCTTTGGTTAAGTACATTTCTTAAAGAAATGTCCGAGTTTTCCATAGTTGAAACATTTGGATTGGTTCAGGTCAACAATTTGATAATTGTTTTGTCATGGTTGGTACTTTCTTTGTAGTTTTTCATTATTGAAGATTTCCTTTTCTTGGTAGGAATTATTTTGGTTTTGGGTGTTATACCTTTGTCTGAATGGTTTCTTTTGGAAGTAACTGATATTCTTTCCTTGAGAATATTTGTTTCTGAAGTATGCTTCTACTTTGAAATTCTTGTATTATTCATATGCTTTATGTACTGCCTTCTAGAATTTTTCTTCTGTATTAATATCTGGGTCGTATGATTTCATTTGACTCCAATAATTTTCTCCTGGATATCTTCCTGATAGTAATGCTTGCATCATTTGAAGTTTTAATTCTGTTAAGAAGTCTTGTTTATAATGCGCTATTTCCATTTGTCTTATGAATTCATCAACAAAGTTTTCATCTTTATATGCATTAATAGGATATCTTGGGTTGAATCCTAATTGTAAAAATTGCTTTTGTGATTCTAATGTATATTTGGTTGTGATATTTTGTTAGTCTATCTATAATCTGAATAATACTTGTATAGATTCAGATGGTGTTGCTGCTGTGTCAAAGTATGGTAAATTATCTTGTCCGGGTTTTAGATCATTTCTACAATTGGTTTTGGTATATTTATAATTTAATTGATAATCCATTTGTCACCTGGAGGGGATCTGCAAAATTTTATAAGTAAAATTTACTATTGGCTCAAATGTG